TATGAGAGATGTCGCATTTTTCAAAAGTTGGTCGAAATTTTAAAATGCTCGTTTCTCAGCAACCCAGCAATATTTTTTCAAACGGAAAGCGCCATTTTACTCAGAAATGTCTATATTTTCTTTTATGACTAGTTCGAACGAGTTCTGTGAGATACGATTGAACAGTGTCGGGCGTGGCTTATGTGAAATGGCTCTTAATTGTTTTATATAAATTATCAAAATTTTAGGCAAATTTTCATGGCCAACAATTTGTTCAACAAAACAAACAAGAGGAAACATTGTTCTTTGTAAATCAAAAATCTAAAAAGTCATTATCAATGTTCATTCTTCGTCATTTCATTTCTATTGAAAAGAAAAATTTTTAGTTAAATAAAATTATGTGAGAAAAACACAATAGATGTGTTCTGTTGTGCTCCACATAGCATCCTACATTCAGATAGAAAATTTTAATTATATCGGTTAAAGATGATGACATATTTGATATAGTTGAGTTTTTCAAGAAAATTATTTTCTCGGACAAAGCCCACATCTATTGTGTTTTTCTCACATAATTTTATTTAGCTAAAATAATAGTTTTTCTTTTCAATAGAAATGAAATGACGAAGAATGAACAATGGTAATCACTTTTTAGAGTTTTGATTTACACAGAACAGTGTTTCCTCTTGTTTGTTTTGTTGAACGAATTGTTAGACATGAAAATTTGATAATTCATATAAAACAATTAAATAAACACACATTAAAGCAATATCTCGTTTTAGCTTTTATGAACCGTATAAAATTAACATGTTTAATCACGATCAAGCTGTCAAACATGCCAATCGTTCACGTCAACTAATATGGAGAGAATTTCTTGAAACATCAACAATTGACGGATTGAAAAGTATTGCTGATGCTCGAAAAATTACAAATTGTATATTTTGGTTAATAACGTTTTTTGTATGTGTTGGTGCAATGGTATATTTTGTTGTCAGTAGTATCATAGAATATTATGGATATGAAACAGAAACACAGGTCAGTATTAACATTGAATATCCAATGGTATTTCCAGCATTTAGCATTTGTAATGGTAAGGATGATTCATCATTTAAATCTATTCATCCCATTTATATACACACTTTCCCCATTAATTTAGCCGTTACGCTACGTGCAGACGTGGTAAAAAAACCATTTATTGATTATTTATTTAATAAAAGTCTTATATCTTCTAACGATTATACACAAACTTTAACAGAATCAGAATCAAGGTTAATAAATTCATTTATGATCGATTTAATCAATTCTGGTGTTCCCTACAAAGATCTGAAAAAATATGGTTTTATGCTGGAAGATATGCTGATTAATTGTAAATTCAACGAATATTTGTGTTATGCAACAAATTTTACATGGTTTTTTTCTACAAAATACAATCTCTGTTACACATTTAATACAAAAATAACGAATAGTTCAGTACTATTAACAACTGCGAACGGTGGACAAGGTTTTATTCTTTTAATGTTCTAGCTTATCGATCTTCTTAAAAAATATTTTATTTTGTTATAGGTGTATTAGATCTTCAACTGTACACTTATAATGAATTAAGCATGCCCTATATTAACGATCAAACTGGCATTGTATCCATAGTTCACGATAACGCTCAATTACCACAAATTGACACTGAAGGTATCACATTGGCACCGGGTATGAAACATTTGATTACATATGAAAAGAAGAGCTCATCATTTCTTGGTGCTCCTTACACACCATGTACGAGCAAATCTCGTGCTGATTTAACAGTATTGTTTCATCAATATGATGCCGAATATGAATATAATCAAGTTCTTTGTCTTGCGGCTTGTCAGCAAGCATACATTTATACGCAATGTAATTGTACGGATCCAAACAACTGGAATTATCATAATATTTTAATCAATAATATTCTCTTGAAAAGTCAGATATGCGTCACATACAGTGTATGTGTGATACAAGCGAAAGGATCATTTGTTAAAGTTGAAAGTGATTATTGTTCACATTGTCAACAAGAATGTTCGCTAATAACCTACACTGCACAATCATCATCATTTAATGCACCACGTACATATGAATTAGATTATATAAAAAAAAACATTGAATCAAAAAATGTATCATTACCGATGGATTGGAATATATCATATAGCACTTATATTAACAATAATTACGTTGCTATTAAGGTCATACGCTTGTCCAATATAGTTGAAAATTATGCACAGCAACCAACTATCACACCAACTGGTATAGTTTCAGATATCGGTGGACAAACCGGTCTGTAAGTTGAAAATTTAAAAATTTATTTTAACCTTATACAATTTTTTACATCTCGACTCTAATTACTGTTACATAGTTATCTTTGTTCTTTTTTTAGATGGCTTGGTGCTAGTCTACTTAGCATTATTGAAATAGTCGAATTGATTTATCGTTTACTTCGGCGTAGCTGTAAACAGAAAACGGCGGTAGGAGACTCATTACAGTTACAAATGCAAGATATTTCACAGATATCCGGCAACTAAAAATATTACAGAAGTCTACAAAATAATCCATACATCCTCTCATACAGAATTTGAAGAGAGTAAGACGCCACTAATTCAAAAGTTCAACACATTTTTATTTTTGACTTTCTTATACATCATTCGATAGAGAATTTCACGTTGATCAGAAATATCACCGTTTTAGCGTTCCCAGTGCACGTTTTCACGGAGAAAAAGTCGAAATACTCTGAGGGTCTCAACATCGGGAAACATCTTCGTATTTCGAAAAAGTTGAATATTTTTTCTTGTTTGTATTTTGAAGCTTCCAAACTTTCTTTTTCGCATTCAACATTGAAACCTGAATTAGAAAGTGTGTTTTGAAAATTTTCCATATGTAATGTGATTGTAGGAAAAATTCGTTTACAAGAATAACTCTAAAGCGAAGGCCTCGCCGCAAAAAGCTATCTAGTTTTTTGTGTTAAGAGATGGAGCTCTCATTCTTGCGCCATTCGATCGGCTTTGATTTGAAGTACAAACATATGAATCGCTTTTTTCTAAAAATTTGTTTCATTCCTGAGAAGTGCATTTTTTCTGAATCAAGAGCGAAAAAATCGGAATTCTACTCGTAATTCTCGATTTTCAGAACTCAAGTTTTATGGAATAAAAATATCATATTCGGAGTTAGCGTAGAAAAAAGCGATTCATATGTTTGTACTTCAAATCAAAGCCGATCGAATGGCGCAAGAATGAGAGCTCCATCTCTTAACACAAAAGACTAGATAGCTTTTTGCGGTGCGGCCTTCGCTTTAGAGTTATTCTTGTAAACGAATTTTTCCTACAATCACATTACATATAAGAAAGTCAAAAATAAAAATGTGTTGAACTTTTGAATTAGTGGCGTCTTACAGTTCAGTTTTTTCGAACTTATATGTGAAACGTTAAAATTAATACGCGATTATTTGGTAATTTCAAACTTATTTTTTTAATAAATTCAATCTTTATTTTTCGAACTTAAAGTGGAATATTATATATCAATCGATAAAACAGTCAATTGTTTTTCTCTGCTGATGTCTTATTCAAATTATTGTCTCGATTTTAAGAAGAATTCATTTGTATTTACCGCATCGTGATAATTTGCACTATCAACTGATGTGATCGCTACCAGAGACCATCACAGGGCAACGTTTTTCGCCCTGCCTTGTCAGAAAAGTACTCATAAAAATGTTTTGACCCTGCCCTGCCCTGCCTGGCTGGGCAGTGCAAAAGAAAGTTTTTCTCCTTAACCTAGAAGACTTCATCTTCAAGAAATTCATCACAAATACTGGATGCGTTTCTCGTGCGTAACAGAATCTTTTTTTTATTAATTATCAATTTTAGAAAAGTTGGCTGCCATTTTCACATATATGAGAGATCTCAAAGTTTTCCTTAAAAAGAAGCTTGAAAATCTCAAAAATCAATCTCTCGCAAGGTAAATGAAGAAATTGTTCATTGTCCTGCCGACAGGGCAGGGTAGCAGGACAAGAGGGCAGTCCTATCCCCGGTCTCTGCGCTACACTATTTAATAATTGGAAAAAGACGAAAATCAAAAAATAAGAGAAAATAATCAAAATAAAGCAGTTGCTCGATTTTGGAGGTGCAATAAGAGCGGAGCTCGTTTCTCTATGTAGAAATGTTCGTTTATCAATCTCTCGTCTTTTTGAACATTTTAGCATTAGAATTAGGCAATAAATTTCATCTTTTTTCTGTAACGGATCACATGAAAATGCTGCATATTACAATTTTTCTAACAACTGGATTTTGTAGAACGAACATTTTTCTAGAAGATGAGCTACCTATAGCGAAAGCCTTCATATTTTCTACACTGCAAACAAACAAGTGTCCCGGGACACTTTTTTGGTCGATGAACGGGACATTTTAAAAAGTACCCACTATGAAGCGCTTTTGGAGCTACTGTCAATGCGAAAACTGAAAAGCAGTGCCCCCGTAGTAGAGCACTTTTCAAAGTTTCTCATTCATCGCCCAAAACTTGTCCTGGAACTCTTGCTTTTTTTACAGTGTATTTCTCCCGCAACCGCTTTTCGACGAAGAGCTCTAATTCAATTATAACCTATCATGGAACTTTTAAGAAATTTCTTTTTTTATAAGTACTGAATCCAAGAAGAAGACCGCTCCCATAGTTCATCTTGCAGAAAAATGTTTGCCCTACAAAACCCAGTTATTAGAAAAATTTCAGAGAATCAATTTTTGTGGAAGAAACTTTTTGCGAAAAAAGCGCACAATTTTAATCGGTTTTTATAATCGGCATACGCCTAATCATTATGAGATCTATGCTTCAATTGTGTATGCACATGTTTATCATAAACAATCGGTCACACAGCTCCAGCTCTGTTAATACTTACCATAGTAGTGAACTTGAACCAAGTACTGTGCAAGCACTTGGGTTACGGACATTACTTGCACACTTTTCTAAATATATTTACTTGCCAAGGACTTATTCTGGCCATAAAATTCGGGACGGAAGTCAATCAGCATAGTCATATGCTCCAGTCTTTATTACCTTAGTAATGATCTCTGTATTTTTACTTTATTTTTTATACAACTAATATTGCGTTGCGGCCTCATACCTGAAGATACTATGCTGCCACCTATTCGTATAGATGAGTCAATAGACCACGAAAAAGCTGTCTTAAAAGAGGCAACTGTATAAAATCTGATTAGTGTATTAAATGAAGGTGGTACTCTACAAAAAAACATGTCGACATCGCTTTAATACTGTCTGGTCCTGAAAAAGGAAACGTGATAAAGAAAGTTTCAAAAAATGCATCTGAGGTGCTGGTTAAGGTATCTAGATTAAAATGGACCAATAGCAGTTAACAGTAATTTCTCCGATGCGCTGAAGATTTTATTCCTCAAGCGTAATCAGAAAAATTTTCTTCTCAGTAATAATAAGACCTCTATTTTCTTCACGATAAAATCATACTACTATTACGGAAACAGCGTGCCACTGTCACACTTCTGAGCAATAAAAAAACAGAATTAAAACTCTTAGCGTTGAAAACTATTATCTAACCATGATATTACACTTTTACGGTGACATCACGGTGGTATTGCAGTATGAGCTTTGATACGATGATGAACTTTTGTCATGGTTACTATAATGCGCAGCCCTGCTCCACACACCGTGAAAACAACCATGACAAAAGTTCATCATCGTATCAAAGCTCATACTGCAATACCACCGTGATGTCACCGTAAAAGTGTAATATCATGGTTAGATAATAGTTTTCAATGCTAAGAGTTTTAATTCTGTTTTTTGTTGGCAAATAACTGTAACTAGTAGTCAATTCCTTTCAGTAATTCTGGCCCACCCTTTATACGGACGGTACTGTAGAAAAAAGTAGATCATGAGACTTATTTTTACATTATTCTAGCCGAGTCTTATTACGTTATGTAACGTGATCAAAAAGAATAGTCGCTGCACTGGAAAAATTATCAAGCAGGCGTTTTCCATTCAGAGATATGTCGATCCTATTGTTTCCGATCGTTATTTTTCTAACAAGACGGAGTGATCTGTGTGGTAAATTCAAAGTAATCAACATTTTTTTCGAAACTGATGTACAAAAGTTGTTTGATGATGCATTTAAGCAATACTTTCTAGCTTTCCTCCTTCATTTCATAGAAACTTTAATTAGTAGTTTAATTTTCAATGAATCCTCTCTGTATTCGATGCTGAACACACTAGCAACAAAGATACTATGTGTGCCCAGTACTTCAGAAGAGTTCTCTTAGTCCGGTTTTCTTACACGTCCACATCGGTCAAGAATGACAAGAAAAATCCTCTCATGTCTTACTTTACTTAAATGTGACTTTTCTTATGAATTAGGTTTTTCTTTTCACCTTCGTATAAAAAAAGGAAACAAAAACTCCTGTCTGTTTCTTGCTTTTTAACATTCACAAAAAACTTTGTTGGTTTCTTTTTTTGTTACTATAGCCATGTAAAAAAACAGTGTCTCTCTAATAAAAAAGGAGTAAAAGAATGAAAATGGAAAACAATGTATGCTGTGGCCGTCATCGGACTTAAAGCTTGGCGGGGACTGGAACTGGAAAATTTGAGCTCATAGCGGACTGGGACTGTTTCGGATTCAGCCTCTAGTGTGCGGGGACTGGGTTAAGGCTGACAAAATACCGGATTTGACCATCTCTGATTAACTGTAGAAAACATTTTCTTCTCAGAATTTGACAGTGACTAACTCTTGCTAGAACTTAAATCTATAACAGCTACCAACAGATGCTAAAATCAACACTGTGCAAAGGCTGACATGTCACACAAAAAATGCGCAGAGTGCTGAGTTTGACAGAAACATAGAGTTATTATAGCTCAGTAAAAGCTTTTTCCATAAAATGTATTTGTTTTTTAATGATGATTACATAGTCTAGTCTCAATTTCGTTTCCTTCATATATGATTGTTAATTTCATCTTTAAAATCTTCAAACACGAGATAGATTTGTAAGAAATCAACTTATGCATGTGAACAATGCTCCGAGCAGTAATCGAATAGTTTTGAGTTTTCATGAGACTCAGAATATTTCCAGGTTTCCTCTCTAATCATTTTATTTTTTACATATAGTACTATTCTGGATTTGTATGTTTGGAAACAGTTACTGTACACGGATTCTCGAAATATGATTAATATATAATATCTGTAGTTCATGTCGTACGGCTACACATTTGTTTTCATTAACTAATGCTCGTTGTCTGTGCTCTTTCAAGAAGAAAAAACAATAATGAGCAGCATTAGCCCTAAATGTCAAAATTTAAAAGAAGAATATGACAGTTGTTTTAATCACTGGTTTTCAGAAAATTATTTAAAAGGTGACACAACAGATAAATGTAACGAATTATTTACTCAATATCAACGATGTATTAAGGTATGATAAAAGCGTTGACAGTATTATCTATGTTTGCAATAGTTGATTTTAAAGAGAAGTTTATGTTAGAACTTTATCGATACAAATTTTGTGTTTTAGGAAGCAATCAAAGAACACAAAATACAATTATGGGAACTTGAGCAAGATTCATCTGTTCCAACGGTTAATCAATCATCCAGTGGAACGCGGTCCTCAAAGAAACATTGAGCGTTTTTATAAACTATCGTTTTTTCTGTACATAACGTTGTTATTATTGATGATGAAATTAAAAAATGTCAGACCATTCAGTGGGCTTTCTTCTGGTTTCTATAGTAGTAACAAGAATCTTTTCTATTCTGCTTTTTATTTATAGATCACACTTCTTTTTTGATATTGTTTAGAAATTAACAACACTTCTCGAATCTATCGGGAATGATCACTCCATGTGAAGATAATTCAAAGTATGTATGTGTATAATAGTGCTTGAATTTTATTTATGATTATTGACAACGTCCCTCATGAACCTTCTTTACTTAATAGATTGACAATATCGATTATTTAGTATTCGAATTTGCTCTTCTGCTATATGATTTTGTTTTGTTTTCAATTTTCCTTTTTTTCAAATCGCTCTCTGGATTTAAGATAGCTCGATCATTCTACTGAATGTCGGCGATTTTGCTGAAAAACTACTTTATTGAACAGCATTACTTTCATCTAGTCATAAGGAAAATTTTAGGATGTATATATATATATTATGATTTTTTCCTATTTTCTAGAACTGCTGGTAATCAATCGAGATACTTCAATGATCGTTCATCATCCAGTTCATCTCAAAGAAATCATGATCGCTCCTTGTTATACTCCAATGATATGACACATGATAATAATGCATTTATCAACAATAACAACAGTGATAAAGAAGATAAGAAACTAAATCGACAATCATTATGCAATTCACTTTTGACGGCGACCACTATCTCAGATACTCTCGATTGCACCGTTCATAACGACATAGCATTGGAAATTATGAATGAAGAAAGGTATGATGTGTTTATTTTAAATGAAAAATTTTATTAATTCATCTTCATCTCCTCTAGAACAAGTATCTCAGAAAAACGTAATGAGAATTTTACTAAGAAACAAGCAAATGATACTTCATCTAGTCGTTATCGTGAATCGAGAAAACGTCCAGCTTCACCATCTTATCGTTCGTCAACAAGTATTAAACGAAAGTCCCATATGAAAAGTCCGGAACAAACTTTATCATCAATAAAATTTTCTTCCGCACATAGCACTCACCATCATTATAATAAATATTCAGTGCCATCTCAACATTATTCTCAGCCGCGCTATCACCAAGATCATCGTTCTTCACATCGAACACACCTTCAGCCACCGCGTAATAGACCACCAAATCAATTTGACTCTTCTAATACGTCTCGTCGAGTTTCAGGATCCACATCACCGTCTTCACTAACGCGACGCCAACAGACTTCATCTCAATCAAAACATATACGAAAATCTTCTAAGGAAAAACGCGTTACATCTAATGCTGCTGAGTTTAAATCAATAATTTCAAAAAAATTGTCCAAATCAGCGAGTTCCTCCTCGTCTTCAATATCTTCAACTTCAAGTTCATCAAGAGCATCATCAAAGAAAAAACGTTCAAGTAAAATATTTGATACCAAAATAACAGGGCATGAGGAACAGGAAAAAAGGTCATCAAATAAAACTGATAGTTATGAACAGATAACGAACACAGCAAAAACAAATAATTTCGCTATAGCAAAGACGGTAATAAAAAAGCCACAGTTGAGTATGAAAAATACTTCACCAGCTTTTTCCTTTTTTTCACATAGTCGAATAATACTGGTAAGGCGAACATGCTAGATCAGTTACATAGTGAAAATGAAGTCCTGTCAATCCTCAATGGAAATACGAAGCCGTTTATTTTAAAAAAAGATAATCAATTACACGTTAAGAAAACCAACGACAAGTAGGTGAATGTTTATCTCTCTAAAGGAAACTTTCTTTAAAGTGTATGATATTTGCGTGATTCTTGTGCGTTGTCTTATTTTTAACAGAAATGTTTAAAAGTCGTTATAAAATCCAAATCTTGGTTGTTTTATTTTTAGATTGTTGATAGCACCAACTTCACCATGTTCAATAGTGCAAAAAAATGAACAGTTGTCAACAACATCAACTTCAGTACCGCATATGTTTTCTCTACCAATTGAAACGTCACCACCAATTATAAAAGATGTAGAAGCGCTTGACGTAACAATGCTGGATTTAGTTTCTACATTAAAATCATTACAATCGAATCCACCGGCCACCGTTTCCGAAGCGAACAAGCTTATGAATAAAAAACAATCTTCATCAAATGTTGTCAACGATATAAATTCATTAGACAAGTACATCCACATTTCCATAATCTTTGTCTTTCATATTTTTTCATGTGACGTATGGAAAAAAGTGTGGCAGGTTTACAAAATAATGGCCTTGTGAAAGAGTGTGTGTGTGTGATGAAACAACCATACGTACACATACACTTGTAAGATAAAATATCAATTTAAATGGATGATTAATATATAAAATCGTCGATTTCGATTTATATGTGTAATAATAATTAATTCGTTAGAATAAGGATGCTTTTATGCTGATTTTGTCTGTTTGCTTTCTTCATTTGAAATAGAATATTTTTATCACAACACTCTTCGCTATATTTAGAGACATTTATGAATTAATTCAACGTCAGTTAACTATTCATCGAAAACATTTGGAACATAAAGAACGGGAAGTGGCATTGAAAGAAATGGAATTAATTCAACGTGAAAAACAATTCAATGATCGTCTTAAACAACGAACGACAGCAACATCACCATTAAGAAATGAATTATCGTCGTCATTGATAGTGACTGAAAATGAAAAGGTAAAACAAATATCGTCACCATCACGAAAAGCAAAAACAACAACTGTCACAAATAATACCAATCAACTCACAGAAAATATAGAGCCAAAAACCAGTAAAAATGAAAATATTATTGTGTCTAATCAAGATGAGAAGAATAAAACAAAGATAGCAGAAACCCAGTTGTCAGTACTAGAGGGTGGAAAAATTACGAAAACTAAACCAACAGTTTCGAATGTAAGTAATATGATACAATTCAACATAGTATCTAAAAGTTATTCAATAAGATTCGTTTTTGATTAAAAAAATTTTTAATATGTATAGTAATAGTTTATTCTTCAAATAGAACATTATAAGAGTATGGATTTGAGTAGCTTTATGATATTACTGTCAACTTTCTATTTAGGCCGAAGAAAAAATGGATTCGTTACAAGTTTCATTCCCAAATGAAACCATAAGACTAAAACCTACCATCGAAAAAGTTCCAGCTCATTTAAGAAAATCCAGGTTAAATGATATTTCAACAGCGTCATCACCTCAACCAGTTCGATCGAATATAAAATCACGTTCAAGAGCAACAATATTAGATGCAACAGTGTTTGCTTCGACGTTTCCGATACCTGACTTATATTCTGAAGAAGATATAAAATTAGTGCCACAACAATCACCAAATAACGAAAACCCAACGCTTTTATCAGTTGAATCGGTGACGGGATCTAGACGCAAAGTAGAATTTATTAGGAATAAATCGCAAGAACAACTACAATCAACACCAATTCTACGAACAACATCAAATGAAGTATCACTTGATGATGAAACAATTGCAATAACAACAACGATACCTGTTGTTGATCTACGTTTAACGTTGGAAAAAAATAGAAAACGTATCCAAGAAGAACAACCAGTTCCTGATACACCTTCAATAGTAAAAGATGAAACGCCAATTGACGAAAATCAAGTATTATTGACAAAAATTTTAAGTGTTGAGTCCAAGTTTGATCAAGGAGAGAATATGGAGGAAGTTGAAGAGGAATTAATGGTTACATCGAAAAAACCAATGAAATCAATTGACTCCAAAGATGATCAACGGCGATCTAAACGTCAGTCGCGATTTAGTTCACATTATTCATCTACAAGACAACAGCACAGGTATATGAATAATGATGATTATAATAAAGGGGCTTAACTGAAAAGGTTATTTTATTCGTTATTGTAGTAAAGATTATGTAAGAAATGTTACATCGGAAAAAACAAAACAACATTATTCAACAAACCACATACCAACAAACACAATGTATTCGTCTGATCATCTCTCTGTTCCACATGCTAATCGAATGCATCCATACGGTTTGTAATTGTACTTAAATTTTCGTTCAACTATGCTCTACAACACTCTTATTTTCCATAGAACTACAACAATATATAGACATGGCTCATTCAAAGCATCATCCAGTAAGTAGTTGTTCACATTTTATTTGAAGTCAATGAATCATAATAATATATTTCTCCCTAGCGACCGAATACGGATGAGACAGATGCTGATCTTCGTGCAAGATTATATCATCAACGACAACGATCGAATATGAGTAAGTTCAAAATTTAAGACTACCATTATTTTTGCTTGTTAATGATGACGATAAGACTACTATCATTCTCCTATCTGTTTAATTCCTAGTAAAAGTTCTAAATTTTATTTTATGTGACAGAATCTGTGTCCAATCAGACATTGTTTTTTATCAGGAAAGAGATAAAAACTTTGGTAGAAAGTAGTACAAAAGCTTGTCAGCGTTGCTTCTACCAAGCAGAAAATGTGAAAACTCCCTACTGCACTGTTGGATTATAACATTGAACATATATAACATAGTAATAAGATATTGTAATAATTTTTAAAACTCGTGTCTAAAAACATGTCTAAAACTGTCTGCTACTAGTCCATTCAGTAGCTGTAAACACCAAATTTATATTGAAATTTGGTGAAATTTGGTCAATCACAATTTCACCCCGAAAGTTTACAGCTACTGATAAAAAACCCTCGGGAAACCACAAAAATCCTCGTATATAAACTTTATACTTCAAACTTCCTTTTCCTTCGGAAAACGGACAAGTCCTAGGAAGTTTTCACAAAAGATTCTACGGAAAGTAACGAACAACATATAAATAATGAATGAACATTTTTCGATCAATTCGGTAATCTACAAACTAACCAGTAGGGAAACCATTATGTTCATTATCGACTTTTTAACGAAATGCTGCGTAAAAAATTTCATAGTTTCATTCAAATGAGCAAATATTTTCGCCGACCATTCGAAGGACAGATTTGCTAAGAGGTCAAACGAATCATACGTAATAACCCTTCCACACAAAACATTGAATAGAATGCACTAAAGATGAACCAATGTGATGTGAAATATTTATGTAATAGAAAAGACTCAAGTAAAGACAACTTCGTCAACGCACCTCAACAGATGCACGAAAAACGAAAAAATTTGGCGTAAGCAGATTATTTTACCGTTAAACAGTTTTCTGCAACAGAGCCTCTAATAGAAAAAGTCGAAAATTCAAGGATCTAGTCCCTAAATCAATATTTTTATTAGCGTATAAAAAGTTTTCTGGTCTTCTATCATAAAAAAATGTGCTGTATATATAATTAATAATTTTTTAACGCAACTGTTGAAAAGAACCACGTTAGCTGTATTTCTTTCTATTTAGAAGGTAATCGACGTTATTCTTAAAATGATCAAAAATTTTCTTTATGACCTATGGCGAAAACAGCAGTCAATCAACTACAATAACATTTTCTTTTAATATCAAAAGTAGATCATGTTTTATTTTTGTCGTGAAAATAAAAAACAAATTAAACTCTGTCCAGAATGTGTGTATAATCTGGTAGCTTTATGTCCGTTTGTTTTGACATTGTCTGACTTTAATATGGAATAGTTTCACAGTTCTTTTTTTTTTTTGTTGTCTTCTAATACTAATTTTTCTTGACAAATACTGTTCTGTTTTCTGTGTGCGTGCTTCTGCCTGCTTTTAAAACGTTTACACATTTAATAAATGAATGGTATTGTTTTGTAACTGTAGTTTGTTTTAAGGAGAATCTCAAAATGTTTTGAGACAGCAATATTGGAAAATTCTTTTGAAATATCTGAAACATGCTAAAAGTAGTAGATGTAAGTGTATATGATAGTCATCAGTCTAGTCAATAGTTTAATTATCATAAAGACTATGCATCATTATTCTTTTTTCAAACATAATAAGAAAATTTTTTTTCTATTTCTTTTGTTATTTTTGATAATGATAACAAGAAAATAAACAGAAGTTAATTATTATGTCATTGTCAGACGAAGAATTTCAACGTTTTCAGGTAAAAATAATAAGAGTTTATCTTCTCTTTTAATTATTTAGTTATGTTTCTTTTATAGAATCAATTAGTTGAATTAAAAACAAAAAATTATCAACTAGAAGAACAAAATAAAAAAATTTCAGATGGTAAAAGAAAACACTTTTTTTTAAAAATACTAATCTAATATTTTCATTTTTTATTTAGAAAACACACACCTTCGAACACAAATTGAAAATATAGACAAAGATAGTATAAGACTTCCAACTAAAGTAAAAAATTTATCTTGTTCATATATAGAATTATGGTAAACATATTTTTTCATTTTTTTTGTTTTTTAAATTACGAAAAATAAGTGGACGTGATGCAGATGTAGTTACAGATGAAGCGAAGTTACAGCGTGAAAATGATGTTTTAAATAGGAAATTACATACGCAAGAAGAAGATTTTAAATTACAAAATGAAACTATGATGAGAGAATTAAACGATGTAAGTGACTTAACAATTCTTATTGTTCTTTTATACTCTTCTATATCTTATATTCGCAAGAAGATTATATCTTATTGATCATTAAACTCTTATTAGAAAACTACTTATTTAAAGAAGTACTGATATGTTTTTGTTATTCTAACATTTTCAAACACAGTAGGACGATCTTAACTGTCTATATAATAGAAAAAAATGATCATTCTCAACGATTAAATCAGAATACTGAATGTCAAATAAAAGATTTTTGTCTGATAAGACTACAGTTGGAAGAGTATGTCTTTTATCTACTGATATGTGTCGAATTTTTTTGTTGTTTATCTAATAAGATATGGCTGCCATTGAACTGTTGAAAGATTAGTCTACCAGAAAAAAACAAAAAAAGAACTTATAAACGAGAGATATGTCGAGATTTCCTACAACAAAATAGATAAATACACAAGAGTAGAAATAGACTAAAAATAAATATTGCAATTATTAATGTGATTTTAAGAATATTTTGATGGTTATCTGATAATAACGATGTTGAAAACCATTGTTTCAAACCATAATGGTAAGGTATCTGATATGAATTTGTTGATAATGATGTCAAATTTATTTTTTGTACTAATTTTGGTGTTCTATTTAAATTAGTACTCTCTGTAGTCGTTCGAGTAATGTATTTATCACGTGTAGGAATAATACTAGTCACTATTGTTGATGGTGACGAATAAACATGAGAATTAAATTTTACAGAATGTTTTTGATTGTAGTCATTAAACAATTTAGACGTGGTAGTTATTGTAGAAGTTGATAAAATACTTTTATGAGTTGAATATGGAATATGTTGTTGTAATTTGTGTTTATTCTCTAATTCATACTGCATATTATAATGATCTCTTTCTCGTTGTTTTTGATCGTTTTCATTTGATATAATTCTCTATATAATGAAAAAGAATAAACAAACATATGGTATTACGGCTAGAGAATGGTGGATGACGACTAAGAAAAGTTCTATTAGACATTGAAACAAAAAATATGGTTTTCCTTTCGATAAAGATACATTTTTTTACTTGAAAAGCAGACTTACTCTCGGAGGCCATATATATGGATGATGTTGCTCTTCTTCGTAGTAAGACAAATTCTTGCGATTATAATTGTATGGAATGATACGTGCATCGGTAGTTACTGTTGTCGAGGATAACGGTAGAGTTGTTGTTATTTTCTCGAAATTTTGGTAACGAAAGTCTTGTTGTGAACTTGAACGTGATGAATAAACATGAGAATCAAATTTTACAGAATGTTTTTGATTGTAGTCATTAAACAATTTAGACGTGGTGGTTACTGTAGAAGTTGATGAAATACTTTTATAAGTTGAAGGCATATTATAATGATCTCTTTCTCGTTGTTTTTGATCGTTTCCATTTGATATAATTCTCTATATAATGAAAAAGAATAAACAAACATATGGTATTACGGCTAGAGAATGGTGAATGACGACTAAGAAAAGTTCTATTAGACATTGAAACAAAAAATATGGTTTTCCTTTCGATAAAGATACATTTTTTTACTTGAAAAGTAGACTTACTCTCGGAGGCCATATATATGGATGATGTTGCTCTTCTTCGTGGTAGGACAAATTCTTGCGATTATAATTGTATGGAATGATACGTGCATCGGTAGTTACTGTTGTCGAGGATAACGGTAGAGTTGCTGTTATTTTCTCGAAATTTTGGTAACGAAAGTCTTGTTGTGAACTTGAACGTGATTGTGAGAGGTATGGTATTGTGACGTTAATAGTAGCAATATTTAATGTTTCTTCTCGACGGATGTCATTATTATTAACAGCTGATAATAAGACATTTGTTAACGAACGATTGTTAGTAGTACTATTGTCAATATTGTTTACAAGTATGGATTCAGTCGTTTCTAATCGAGGATATATTTGATTATGATTGTCTGATAACTTTGACGGTTTTTCTGTGATAGATTCGTAATTTATTGTATTTTTGTTAAATTCTATTCGTCTTTGTTCCGAATTGATAGCATTTGGTATTTGATGTATGTGAGCGTAGTGTTGTAATTCTCTATGATAATGTTCAGATGGACTTAAATAATTAATTAATATTGAATCAAAACTTTTTGTACATTCTGTTTATGATTTTACTAAGAAATTCGTCATTTCAATGAAAAAACTCATGATTTATTTAAAAATATATATCGAGAAGGATTGACTCGAGAAGGATAGACGTAAATTGATATTTTTCATCTTTCATTTAGATATATAAACAGCAGTCAGCTATACATAATCTAGACGGAAGGTTTTTGTTGTACTACACACTTTTAAAAATAACAGAATTAGATAAAAACACTCAACACTACTCTAGACTAATTCTGTCGATAATGTGAAATGAATCTGTTATTATTACAATTATGAGAAGGTTATCTTCTGACATAATTCAAGCTTTTCTCATTAACATTTAGTCAACACTAATTTCCTACCTTCTGTCTTATTCTATTATTACATTTTTATTATTACATTTACATTTTTTGTATTTTAATTATCATCCTATTATACACCTAGATTGGATTGTTATAGTACAAAATATCCTACACACAACTTCGTTTTACCTTAAATCAAGATTTGTGTTGTGACTTTGTCCACTATTACTATCGTCAGATATTGACTGTTCAACATAAAAATGACATGTTGCATTGAGAACATGAAGTGTTTTTGATTGTTTCATATTACAATTGTCCATAATTGATTTCCATATCTCTTTTTCATATAAATAAAATAAACATTTTGTTAAATTATCTTCTGTTGTTAATATTACTGTAATATCTAACGGTAAATATTTTATCATTTCAATATATTCAAAATGAATAACAAATGCTGTTATATCAACAAAACGATTTGTATAATTAACATGTTCAATAAAACGTTTTGTTATATTTATTTGTTTATTTAATATAATATCAACATGAATTTTTTTATAATCATTTATAGTTACATATTGATATAAATCAATAATAATCCATGGTAAAGGTTTAGTAGTACGACATACAAATGTAAAGTCAATTTCAGCTGGTGTTATATATATTAATTCATAATTATTATGTTTTAATTGACATTTATGTTCAATTAATTTTTCACTATTTGGTACAGGTATAAATATTTGTTCTTTTGTTTGATTATTACAATAATGAAACCAAACTGTATTATAATTAACAATACCTAAACGATAATTATTACCTATTGTTATTTGAATATGAATGATAAACACATTGAATAATACGACAATGAGTGAAAATATTTGATAGTCCATAATTTATTCAATTTCACTTTAGATTATTAAAACCATGATCGATGCTACTAAAAAATAATAATACGATATAAAATGAGTTTCATAAGAATTTTTTAAATTGTATCAGAGAATAATCTTACGATAGATAACAATTTTTATCTTGTACTACAATGAAAAATATCTACAAATTGGTTTATAAACATTCATTTCTAGTTCAAATTGAGTGATATCTCTGATATGCCTGTATTATTGATTAAAAATAATGTGTAAAATATACATAATATTAAGAAGAAAAAAAAGAAAATAAAACAATTCACAAAATAGAATTTTATACATAACTTACTATTAGGTAAAATAATTTGTCAAATTAATTTAATTATCGACTATTTGTACAGTTGTTTAATATTTTGTGTTTTTTATCATTTAAAATTTTATAATTGTTTTTTTTATTACATGTAGATATACATAAGATATGGTGAAAAAAACACAAGTCTATGTTATTATTATTATATTACATATTTGAAGTGAAAAAAAAAACGTCTTTAAACAAAAATTCATTATTTGAAGATGATAATTTCTCACTTATCGATTGTATTAGATATTCGTCAAAGTCGATTAATATATGACTTGACAGAAAACATTCACATTGATTGTCTTAATTAAAAATAAAAATGAAACACAAAAATTATTATATCCAAACAATATATATATGTATATATCATGAATGATTAGCTTTACAGACGTCTGATCATGTCTATTTGTTTCAAAGATAATGTAAAAAATAATAAACGAAAAAACATATATAATGAGAAATTGTTTTATGTTCTTACATGTTTACTGTAACAAGTACAAGAAAAAGTGTCATAAGATATCTAGTTTTCAATGACGCTGAAAAATATATAGTCTGTTTATTATTGTAATAGAGTATTCCTAACATATATTTTTTTTAGGTGTTTTTTTATTCTACTAGTAAAAATGTTATTCCCAAGTGATCGTTTATAAAAATAGTTTGTTTTTCTAATTTATTTTATACAATCCATTTAATTAATCTCTGATTCTAATACTTTTGGGAGTAAGACACTCCTCGATACATATATATATATATATATATACTAGTGATTCATAATAAAGAGTTGAATCGTTTTGTTTAAAAAAAAGTGAAGAAGAAATATTATTCAAAATCAATAGTCACTAGAGTATTTGAAGTTCTATTTTCTTATTTATTTTTGAAGATAAATAAAAATTGAACTTGAAAACATATTTTGATTTCGTGTTTGACTAACGCACGGGGAGAGATTAATTATGTTAATTATAAACAAAGTTAAACATCCTAATTATCAATAAACATTAAGTTAAATTTTTTTAAACAATGTTAAGTTACATTTCTTCTCATTAGAACTATTTCATAACTATCTCTTTCAATAACAATAACAACAATCACAATGTTTGTTTCTTTTTATACTTGACAATAATTTCTAGACAAATGGAAAGTTATTAATAATAGAAATTGATAAAGAATAGGCGATATTACTTACAAAAGTGACAAACAACAAAAGTATTCTTTTATTTTATTGTCAGTTTTGTTAGTATAATACATTCTCATGTGCTATACATTGTTCTACTCATTCATCAATCTATATTGATGACTTTTCCGGAATTATGACAGTATTACGAATAAATGTTTACATTATTTAAAATTATATTTAGTTCACTTATGGATCACTGCGTATATGGTGTGATCTAAACTACTCAATCGATATTCAAATGTTTTTGCTGAAATTTTCATCGGAGGTTATATCAATATATTTAAGAAAAGCCCTCAATAACCTTATGAAGGCTAGTTTTTGTTACGAAGGATTGACCAAAAGTTCGTAGAACGATAAATGCTCGCTCCCCTCACACCGTGATCAAAACCAGTGGTCAGCTCTAAGTATATTCTGATAGCGCTTGAATTTCTCTATCGTCCTATATATTTGTCTACTGTCCTGCATTTATCTATTGCAAAAATAACTTGAGTACAATGAAGATACCCTCAATTGACAAGTACGAAAATTCGGTAGTTTTTATGCTTTTTCAAATTATAGATACTATGGAAATAAACCTTTCTAAAGGAATTAAACATTCTGATAGAGCTTCCAATTCTCTATCATCCTGTATATTTTTGTTCTATCTTGCATTTCTGTGCTGAAGAATAATTTGATTATCATGCAGGCACGCTTGTCAATTGAGGGTGTCTTCATTGTACTCAAATTATTTTTGCAATAGATAAATGCAAGACAGTAGACAAATATATAGGACGACAGAGAATTTTCAGCGCTATCAGAATATACTTAGGGCTGACCAAAAGTTTTGATCACGGTGTGAAGAGAGGAGGAATCACCGTTCTACAAACTTTTGGTCAACCCTAAGTAAAAGTTAGTTAAAGCACTTTCACTGGAAGTCTCAGAAAGCAGTAGGCTTGTCAAAAATGCATTGCCCAAACTCCGTAACACGACCTAGATACGATGAAAAAAGTTCATATTTTGAAATAGGATTAGTATAAGTCGATTATATATAGTCAAAAGTATGCTGTATCACATGTGTAGGCATATGCCGGCAAAATGAGAAAAAAATGAAATGAGTCGTTTTCAACAGTCAATAGTAGATTTCATAGTTGATCGTGATTTATACTAGTTAGATCAGTTGATGCTAACTTGTTTTTTCTGTTATGCTACACACTTTTAAAAATAATAGGATTAGATAAAAACACTTAACACTACTTTAGACTAATTCTGTCGATAATGTAAAATGTAATTCTTATAGAGTTTTAATAGAATAATAAACAATATATTTATCATCATTGTTTAGATACGGTCATTTTTAGGAGAAAAGAAAATAGATTAGATTAAGATAATGGCGCAGTCATTTTATATCTGTATCGATATGACATTAAAATAACTATATTAGAAATACTGCACTTGTATCTGCACGACATGACACTGTTCGATTAATAACAACAATGACATTTGGCTGAAATGATCGTTATAAGTTTTTTGATCCAATCAGATAATTATACACAGTGTTTGTATTGGCTTTTTATATTAGAAATAGAACAAATGAATAAAAAGAAATTCTTTAATTCTTTATAATAGATAGATGTTTACGTTTACTGGATAGTTTGACTGTTGCATAGGAATTTTCTTGCGAATATCATAAATCTAACGTGATCAAACCATGATCAACTTCTATGGTTGAGTTTGCTGCTTTAGATCCAAATTTTCTACATTTTTATCTCAAGATCAGTTTAAGTGATAATAGTGACTATCATCTCCAACTTATCATTTAATGTGTATTTTTCCCTAATTTTAGCATATGAAAAGAGCCGATGTATTACAAAGTGAATTAAAATTATATAAAGAAGGAAAGGTGCATTCTAATGGCGGTCGAGACGGTGATTTCACAGTATCAAGTACAGGCATACTAACAGACGAAAATCGACGTTTAAAAGCACAAAATTCTGTTTTGCAAAAGAAAATCGCCGGTACTATTGACGATTTGTTTGTCTGTAATATCACTCCTATTTACAATTCTTACTTTTCTTTTAGAAATAACAAACGAGTCAACTTCGAACGATGTTTCCAGTTCAAACAGTGAATCATCGCGCAAAAGCGACAGAGAGACTGAGATCGATGGCAAAGCTGACAGATCTCAACAGTAATTACACTCGAGAATGAAGTTATCAATAGTTATTCTTATTGTTTTTTTCTCATTTTCTTTCAGTGAGAACGGTGTTGATATTACTCAACAGGCATCAGATTTTGATGCGAAATCATGTGATAGTAAGCAATGATCTATGTACTGATGTATTTATCCATGACATTAGTATTTTTGATAATTTAAGGCTATACTATAAAATTTGAAACTGAACAAGAAGAAAAACGTCTTATACAAGAACAACTACATCAATTAGAAATATCATCGAACGAAAAAATTACACAATTACAAAAACAAATAGAAATTGTAATCTTAAAATTTTGCATTCATATAAAATCTACATAATATCTCTCTCATTTTAGTTAAAAGAAAAACTAGATGAAAAACAAAATACTTGCTTGCAGTTACAGCATGACTATGAGAAAAGAATTCAAGATATAAAGTAATTGAATGAAGACAATCAATTCATCTTTTAGAATGCTCATTTTACATTTTTTATTATAGTAATGAAGCAACAAATTTAAAAACAATCTATGAACAACAAACTGAAACATTGAAATCAGATAATACACGTTTAACTGATGAAGTTCAAATAAATCTAAAAGTATAACTATTAATTTAACAGGCGAGCATGATGTTACGTTTATAACTTTTTAGAACAAAGAAGATGATATTGCTCGATATCAAAAACGTGTGAATGATATGCAAAGTCATATTGATCATTTAGAATCACAAGTAGGTCGTGTGTTACTGCTCGTGTGTGTTTGCTTAACCGCTGCTATTAGATTAAATTTGCTTTAATCCTTAGATTGGGACTGTATCAGCTGAAAATAATCAACAATTACGCGATTATAATGCTAAACATCAAAAATTACTTGAAGATAAAGAGCTACAATTAAGTCAAACAATTGTTGATATTAATTCTACTAAAATTCAATTAGAGGTGTGCTTCCTCTTTTATTTATTTTCTAAATTAGTTATAGTTTATCATTTAAATTTTGCTTCAGCATTCCAAAGAAGCTTATGAAACATTGCTCAAAACTGTGCAACATGGAGAAGAACAATTAACAGCAAAAATACAAGAATGTGAACAGATGAGCAAAGTATGATTTATCTACAGTCGTTTATTCATTTAACAAACGAAGATTGCTCATTCATACTATCTCAAAAAAAAATCTGTCTTCTTATGAGGAAAACTGTTAAACTATTTGGTTTGTTTTTAAATTGCTAAACAGCTTGCTGAACAACGAAAGAAAACAATTGAAGATTTGGCGATGAAATTACAGCAGGAGAATGAAAAATATAAATTTGATCATGAAAAATATGAACTAGAAATACAACGTCTTGAAAATCAAATAGGAGAATTAAATGTATGCTAGATAATTTTAATTTTATTATTAATATGAAAACATATAATCAATTATAATTTAGATAAAAGATCGTACAATGAAAAGTCTACAAGCAAAATGTAGTGATCTTGAATTAAAAGTAAAATCCTATGATGAATTAAAACAATTATTATCAAAACGTGTAGAAGAATTGGAAGTAATCATTAATAGTCATCATTTTCAACTAGTTGATTAAATGTTGATATGAGAGAGTGAGGATTTCAAATTATTTAATCTATATTTATTCATTATTTCAGAATGAATTAATTGAAACCAAAAACAACCATGAAATGGAACTAAATGAAAAATATGCTGAATACCAACAAGCAATTATTGCTAAACAACATTTATTTCAAGAAAGTATTGATGTAAGTGATTTAATAGATTCTTTTTTATTAATTTCATCAGTTTGACGTTTATATTTCATAGAATTTGAATGAAATGTTGAGGGAGAAAAATGAGACAAATAGTGAACTCAATGCACAACTCGATGTTCTTAAACAAGTATGATCTATGAGAAGTGAAAAATATATCTCACACTGGTGTCTTCTCATTTTGTTAGGAATCATTAACTCATGTTGAAGATAAACGAGCTCATGAAAGAAAAGGAGCGGCACTTGTAAGTACAAATTAATTATCGTTTAAATCGATTAGAATAAACATGAATTTTTATATCAACAATCTCGTTACTTTTATAAAAAAAAAATGTTTGAGTGATATGTTCATATTTGCCACTTACAACCTATATCTATTTTATCTTGTTAATAGTTGAAAGATCTTCAAAAACAGTTACATACTGAAAAGAAGAAAACCGAACGTCTTCAAGAAAAATTAACGGAACTATTATCTGGCGATAAAACAGGTATTTTAAACAAAAATTTACCATATATTTGATCTATATGTGACTTTATATATTCCACAGCACTCGATGAACTGTTTTACATTCCACGAACAGATGGAAGTAGAGGAGGGTATTTACAGAAGAAATATTTTTTGTTTAATATATTTTATTATTCACTTTTTTTATTTTGTTTTAGATCAGTATCGTCATTCAATGGAGGCAATACTCATGCAGCAGAAAGAGTATGTTTCAGTACATATTTAAATATTGTAGCCTTTTAACATTGTTCGTATCTGTTTTATCTTTAGGCATCTATCACATCTGTTCCAATAATAAGTTCACCATTAGAACAAGAAAACAATGATCTGATACTTAAATTAGCTAAAGTTCAAGAAGAAAAAGCTGTTCTAGAAGAAAAAGTTCGTCATCTTGAAACATCTGGTAGTTCGATGGCTGACGATTTAGTTCAAAAATCTGCTATTATTCAACATTATTCTATTGAAAAACGAGCAGTAGCATCTTCATCAAATGGTAAAAGTTTTTTAGTCATACAATTTTAGTTATATATCATGACTATGTTTATATTTTAGCTTTTCCTTCTCGTCTATCACGTCGGCATCCATCAATTGAACGTAATAATAATAATAGTGGAATTAATTTACGAAACATGTTCGATACACTTGTTCGCGATAATATCCATTCTAAACAAACATCATCGTCAAATGACGATACAATTAAAAATCTTCAACGATTATTAGAAGAAACATTAACAAAAAATATGCATCTACAAAAAGTAAGTGAACATTTTAAACTGTAATATTCTAATTTTGAAAGGTAAGTTAAGATCTGTTGAAAACTATGGGAAAAAATTTGATTCATTAGACAAAAAATAGGACTATGTAATAAATATTACGAGAAAAATTGATCAGCTATATTTGTTATTTAGGATTTGGAAATATTATCACGTACATTAGAATCGTCACAACAAAAATCAGATACATCTGGATGATTGACTTTTTTTTAAAATTTTTCTCTTGCTTATCGTACAGCTTTAAAATATTCTTATGCAATATTTTTTCATATCTATGTTTTGTACATTAATTAGTGTCCTTTTCAACTATTGATTTTGATATTGCGTATTGTTCATGGATGTTCGCTCTATTTTATTATTGTTTGTGTACAGCCTTTAATCCAAGTAGAATTTAACTTTATTTTTTTCTTCCATATGTATTGTGACTCCCACGTGATTCATTCCACATGATCGATAAAGAAAGAAAGAGTGAGAGTTTTCTCACATTCAGTCTAGTCAACAATCATCGTGTTTCTTCATTTTTCTTTTCTTAAAGAGCAGGCGTCTTGTTGTTGTTTTTTGCATTCTTTTATTCCAATGAAATTTTCATGTACTGATTTTTATTTGTTTGTTTATTTATTTATTTATCTATATATTTATAATTACATTGAAAATGAACTATCTATTTTAGAGAAGAAAAAGAAATTATTAATCTCGATTTAAGCAATGTTAATTTATTGTCATTTTCAAAGAATCTATATCATCCAATAGAATGCTGATCTTTGATCCAATTTGAAGTTAAAAATGATTTATAATAACATTTTTTTAGACTGTATTTCTATTATTTTTTATCAAATTTCATTCGTGTTACCACAATAACAGTAAGCATATGTGTATTTTTTTCATGTCGATTTATTTTATTTTGTATATATATATATCTATAATTCACAAACACAACATATTTCAAAAGATATAAGCTAATAGAAACAATCGAGATATTTTATAGTAATGCTAAAGAGCAGACTGTATAATTTAGTTGTCATACTTCAATGGTTTCCTATGATCACAGGCTCAAAAAGCTTTTAGAAATCTGATGTTTTTAGACTGACTTCAATCATATAGATAGAATTTTAACAGAAAATTATTTCCTTTTTTCAATATGAAAATTTTATAAAATTTTTATGCTATATGAGAATTGAAAAAAAAACGACAGTCTATACACGAATGAAAAAACAATACAATGGTACCTTTGCATTATTTTTTTCACTTTTCAACTGAATAATATCAATTCTTCTTAAGATAAATATTTACATTATAATTCGCTTTTTATAATAAGGTTAATATTTATGTTGATGAACTGTTTAGAAACACAACCACAACTTCTAATAATTACATCTATCTCAAGAAACTTTTTCTCTATTCAATTTATTTTAGTTCAATTTATTCCTTTTCAGTTATATTACCTGTTGAATCAAAAAATTATTAAAATATGACGTGCTCGTCGTTGTAGAACACATTGAAAAAAAAAAAACGTGTCACATCATAGTGTTCTTTTTCTTCGTATTCCTTTTTTTGCTTTTTATACATCAGAATCATACTTCGTAAGTAAGAACAAACGAAAAGCTTGTACATTGGACAACAAATTGATATAAGTCTATATATTGATGACGACGAAGAGTGTTTATAAGACGAGCGGTGTAGTATAGATAAGAATCTGTCTAGCTGCGACGATGTATCATATTAAAAAGAAATCTTTTAGCAATAAAATATAAATAAAAATATGATTTTTTTCTACATTAACTGAGAGAAAAAGCCACCACATAACTGCATTTCGTTAACGAGTGAAGTTAACTACGTGCGTAGAGTATCCATTTTAAAAATTAAAAAAAAATTCACATTGATCCTATCTAATTCTGAAATAATCTAGTCAAAAAAATACTATAACACTTTGTGATCCCTGGGTAGGTACCATTTTTCTTTTTCTGATATTTAAAGTATTGAAACATAAAATTTAGAATGATTCTCATCTTTTTTATTCAAGGGTGAATATTGAATTTCTACTATACTAATATTAAATATCTTGAATTTGTTTTGATATGCAGATGTTTTGAACAGTGAATATGCATTTTATACTCTTTGCAAAGTCTCCTAATCATTAGTAATAAATTAGTCTTTTCGAATTATTCTTCTCTTTTTTTTTTTTAATATTGTCATTTTATGAACCAAAACGATGATGCCGTTCTTTTTAAAGAAAAATTATATTACAATAAAAGATTTATAATGTCTCAAAAACCACTCGTAACACTGGTGTTTATCACGCTCATTACTGGTGCTTTCTTGCTATTTCGATCATATCGTTCGATCGATGATTCCCCTTCGTCTATTGTACAATCGAATAAACCGGTCCATGTCGATTTTTATGTCATGTCCAAGTATGTATAGTTATAATTATTTACTAAATGTTCTATCTATCTATTTGTTTAGATGTCCGGATGCTCAACTTTGTGAAACAAAATTTGCTGATACATTAATTAAATTATCATCGATCATTAATTTTACCGTTAATTTTATTGCTAAAGAGCCAACACCCAATGTATTTAATTGTATGCATGGTGATTCTGAATGTACAGGTAATAAACAACAGTTATGTGTACAAAATCTCACAAGTCAAATAGTTTTACTTCAATTTTTACGATGTCAATCACAGACAATGAAATCCATACCAGATAATGCTGAAAAATGTTTGCCAGCTACAAATTTAAAATATGATGATGTAAAAAAATGTGTCGATGAACGAGGAAATTTATTGTTTCATAATTCAATTCAACAAACACAAACAGATAACGTAAAAAAGTCTTGTACAATGTATTTGAATAAGAAATTTTGGTGTAAACATGACGGAGGATGGGAAAATTGTACTGAAGGAAATGATGAGGCAAGTTTAATTCATGCGATTTGTCAGCGTTATACGGGTGAAAAAAAACCAAAAGAATGTACAGTGTAAATCAAAAGCATTTTCAATCTAAATTTTATCGTTTTTATATATTTTTTAATGTTATTTGGTAAAAATAATAGAACAATGTTCTGTTAGTCATGAATTCAATTCACTATGGAGTACGAAATAAGAATAAGACTATTCGACGACTTGTTGGTAACAGACTATGCCATAAAGTATGTTTTTACTTGAAATTTCTAGAACAGAGCATTTATGAGAGGTACCTTTTTATCTGTCATACAGATACGGTTTAAAAAAAAGAGCAGCTCCATTTATCACTAAGCTTTTGTTCAATTCAGCTCACACTATAAAAAATTTGCATGAAGAGAGTTTATTATAAATATCATTGTGTGTTCTGACTCTCTTCGAACAATTCAAGTCAGAATGAAAATAAATGCCGATATAAAATATTGAATAAAAAATACAATTTGTTTGAGACACAAAAAAAAAGACAAAAACCTGTAGAAAAAAAAACATTATAAAAAAATACGAACTAATTACACAACAAAATAATGAACAAATGCCATGTAAAATACTGAAATTGTTTGTTCATAATGATGCATATATTCAATTTATAATTTCCATTCTCGCATTGCCTGGAGAAATTCTAAATGGCAAAAAATATCATTGTAATAATATTTATGTTTAGTTAATTTCAGAAATTTACCTGTTAATGACATATGTTTCTTACCAGCATCAGATACCATACCAACGAATAAAGTTGCTTCGCTTTCCGACAAAATTCTGTCTGTCGATTAAAATAATATAATAATTCATTAATGGTTATCAAACCGTCATCATTCTAAAAATTAAAACGATTTATTGTCATGTACTTAGTTCAGTCAACAATAAGATACAGAATCAATATCTTTAATTAGATTAATTAAATCTGATTCTTTTGTGTCATTCATCAAATCTTCTCCAAAATGGTCTTTGAATTCTTTATATTGAATAAAACCATCGCCTAGAAAAAACAACAGTAATTCAAATGAAACAAGCAATTATTACATATTCAGTTATATCGTTTTGATCCATTTCAGTAAATGAACTAAGTAATTCTTGATCAGTTATTGTTGGATCAATTGTTAACATATAAGAACGATATTTCCAATGGATATTTGTGCATTATCACTACTGTCATTAAAATTAAATATTTTTCGAGCATCTAAAAATAAGTGAATAATAATAGATGAAAGATATCTAGTGCCTACTACCGAAACAGAAAGTGATATGAATGTGATACGATACATGCGCTATAAGCCAAACTGTAGTTCAAATCCACATAAAATCAGAAAAAAAAATCAGGAGATCAGAAACGAGGCAGAAAAAAGTTCAAAAATCAGAAATTTTCTGCCAAAATCAGGGGCCTGTTTCTCAAAACCATTTAAGTGTGGCCTGTTTCTCGAAAAAACTTAAGTTTTACTTAAGTGAATAATTTCACTTAAGTAAACAGGAAATTATACTTAAGTGTTTTTGAGAAACTCACTTAAGTAAAATATTTTACTTAAGTTTTTTTAAGAAACAGGCCCCAGGTTCATGAATTTATTTTTAAGAAGGAAACTGAGCGAAGATTGAGTAGATAGTTATGCCTCTTTTGTTTATATACACTAAACACCGACGCGCTCATTCAATTGGCTCTACCAAAATGCTTTTATTGTCAATTGTTTTTCTTATTTAACACACTTTTGGCAGGAGACTTTAACGCTGACCCAGACAAAAACAGTAATGTACATAAAATTCTTCTTGATACACTTTCTGTGTTTCAGTTAATTCGCGCATTCTCTACCTATACCACACGACATAAATCTCTTCTTGATAACATTTTCTATCCCTTCGACTGAGACACTCCGGTAATTTCAAACTGTCCGGCATTAGGAGGGTCTCCCCATTTTGTCCTCGAAGCAACATTTCAAGGTATTTTTGTTGAATGAATCCAAACTCAAGTACGTCGTCGCGACTATCAGAAATGCAACTGGGTTAACCTACTGACGGAGATATCAAACATCGATCCATCCTTCTTTACTACAAAAACCTGTGATGAAGCGTTAGAACTATGGTCCAATCATGTATCTGCGTGTATTGACCACTGCGTTCCATGGAAAAATATTAAAGCTAAACCAATTCTCTTTAAGCACAATCGTAGTTATTACTATTTAAGGCGCAAAAGAAATCAAGCTTTTCAGTTAAAAAAAGCAGACAGTAACGTTGAGTCAGCCAAAAGCTGGAAGAAGTGGCGTAAGGAAGTTAAACAGGCCTTAAACAAAGACAAAACTGCCCATTTTAACCAAATTACTACCTCCTTCACATCACCTGCAACCTTTTGGGCCGCCATTAATCGGATAAGACAAGGTAACGCTAGTCTACCCGCAACAATTACTAATGGTGCTGCATCTGCCTCAACTGACCAGGAAAAAGTGGACCTTGTTAGTCAATATTTGTCTAGCTGCGTTACATCAACATCAGGTCCCATGCCAACACCCAAGTCCAACTTTCATCCCACAATCACTCTTAATTTCACATGTTCTTCTAAGAAGGCAATAATTTACCCTAGTGAAAGTACTCATACGATGAGTACGACTTTACTCATAATTCATCCATGAGTACTCATATTGGTACTACTAACAATTTCTGAGTATTGTTACTCAGTGAGTACTCAGTTACTCATGTGAGTA